ATAGCCACATCCCCAATGAAAGAATAAACCATTCCAAGCTTTTACTTGTTGTTAAACAAATGTTTAAACAACTCTATTAAAAGTTGATTTTTATTAGTATTTTTATTTACACACAGAATGTACAGGAATGTTATTAATCCATTAAATTTGTTACAGGTTTTCTCAAAGTATGTTTCATATAATTCAAGCTAGTAACCGTTTTCGTACTGCCTTGCTTTCTTCGTGTTTGTGTTCAGTATCTAAAGCTTCCTTTTGTCGGATATTAATATCTCACATAAAAAAATAAAGTCATTAAACTGAGCTGCTCCATAGGTCCACTTCTTACAAGCAAACTCCATAATTTTGAAGCTGTTTTATAGGTGAACATCATAGACTTATATTTGATTTAAAACGTACCACTACTTATTGAATTATTTTATTATTTTGAGTTTAGAAAAGAACAAGAATAAAACTTCCGTTATAAAATGTACTGGTTTGGTTGAAAAGCACAAAGCTTCACAATGGGGTATCTGTGTTGTAACCACCACGGGTATCAAAACCTGGTTTTTAGCGTTATAAGCCTGTAGACTTACCGTTGAGGCACTGGACGGCTGGAAAGTTTAAGAAACAAATATGATAGGTTAAAGACATGTGTCCAGGCAGTAAAGACAAAGAAAGATTTGTTGTTTTGGTTCAATAAACCAAGTAATAAAGTATTACTTTTTAGGATTGTAAAATGTGAAGGAAAAAAAAAAGATCTTTCGAAATTTCTATAATAAACGTTTGATAATAAGCAAGAAATATTTATAGTGCTTAATGTAAGAATGAGTGGTAAATGTAATTGTAATCTTAAATTATTAAGCTGTGTTGTAAAACAAATATAGTATTTGAATTTAATTCTATCAAATGTGTGCGCGTACACACACACACACATATACACAAAATATCTCATAGTTTATTGTTTCAGCGCGTGATTTGTACCATCATTATTTTGATTCTTTTAATGACATTGTTATTATTCACGAGTAAATAAGATCTCGACAACCCATATAATTTTGTTTTATAATGTAAGAATAGTCTAAACATTACCCATAAAATTACAGCTACTTGTGAGTAAAATCTAAAATTCTTTTGTTTAGCTCATATCTTTAACTTCTTCGGTTCATTTTACTCAGGATATAACTGCAGTTTTATTTACATTTTTTCTTTTAAAACACCGTGAGATTCTGCTGTTTAATTACAAGCATAACAGTGGAAAGTTATTATGTTCACAACTAACAATTCTGCTGTTGCGTAACGATCCGTTTACACCTTCAGTGTTAATAACATGTCTAAAAGAGTCGTTAACTTACAACAATTCTTAAACTTTGAGGTAAGTCTCAATAATGATGGTGTTTGCGTCAGATCGGTTGAATTCCTGACACAGAGAGAAAACTCCAACCAACTAACAGTGAGAAATTTGAAAACTTAAGAAGCACGAACAATGATGGTTATACAAACGCATTCTAGCATTGCCTTAACGAATATATATTTATACCTTCTCTGATCCCTTTCAAATGGGTTCAGGATCTAAGAATATGGAAAATTATATCATTCGAGAAAACATTCATGGAAAAAAAGAAAAGCCTAAATGAGCAAACTAAGAAGATAACATTACTATGCTCATTACTCTGTTTTTTTTTCTCCAGCATATAACAGGGTTTCTAATTTCATTGCAATATCAGAAACATTAGCATTGCGGGTTTTCTTGCTAGTCACTAATGCTGACTGAAAACTCGTATTATTTTATCCACACTGCTTATAATGGTTGAGTACGTCATATTAAAGCGATTTTGGACCCTCACCACATCGTTACAGTCCATTTCGCCACGCCTGGGCATGCTCTATCTGACGACTGTGCATCTTGACACCATGTGGCGTAGCTTTCATTTGTAAAAGGTTTCATCATGAGGCTATCATGTCCAAAGCATACCAATTTTCTCTGCGGACATTCCATAATCCATCTAGTGTACGAGAATGATGGTCTTCCAGCAACCGTTTCAACAGTCCTATTGTGCAGAAATACATAGGCGATGGGAACAGTATGTATTAGTGTGGAATAACATGAATACTCGTTTCATTCTTTAGCTGTTTGAAGTATGCGATATTTTAACGTATATGATTGTGAAAACAGCTTGTGTACACGTGACTTGAGATTATTTTTGCTTATGTTGCATACCGTTGCCTTGGACACATAGATTCTCATTTGTTATATAAACGCCACACTTTGACTACCATGGCTAGGATATGATTTGTTGTAGGACTCTTTCTAGACGCTCCTGATGTCCTAAGTTGATCCATATTCCTTTGTTTCCCAGTGTAATTATGTACAAGGGATATTGAAAACTCTAGATTCTCGATCTGAACTAAACTATATGATTTATAAGTGCATAAATATTTTGCGTCAGGAAGGGCTCTCACATACTTTTTTAGAAAGCATCAGTTTTCGGTGGCATCACACGACCTACGAAACACTGAACAATGTCAAAATGTAGTTATGATTCATGCTGTGTTTATCACGCAACTTGTTCAGTTGTGTATTCAAAATCGTTATAATATTATATAATATAATGTACTCAACCTTCTATAAAAGTTTCATAAGATTTGCTTGTACC